GTATGTCAAGAGGATTACAAGCCAGATCACGATACACTCTGTCCATTATCATCCCGATTGTTTTATCCACAGGTACGTTGGTAAACAGCGACCCCACATCCAATGAGGCTCTTATCCCTGTTGCCCTTGATTCCCCGCAGTAAGTCAACGAATTCCTTTGGAGACTTCAGGCTAAAGGCACAAGGCACATAAGGAATCAGCAGGCAGTTGAATCGCTTAGCCATTCTGTATGTGGGTGTGGGTATCTGGCTGATGATGTGCCCAGACAGGGAAAGAGGAGTGTTGTCAATGCTTACATCGACCGGACTCTCAGTCACAGCTCTGATTGGAAGCAAGTCGATAAAGAACTCTGTAGGGTAAGGCAGGTCCAAGTCAGCAATGACTTCTCTAACGGTTATGTTAAAGACGTCATAAAAAGAAAGGTGAAACGCCATGCAACCTCTGAAGAGTGAACTAACACAGTACTTGTACCCCTCTATTAGACTGTTTTACAGGAACTTCTTTTCCACAGCTCATAAAACGGAGGAAAGTGTTCTGAAAGATATTATTAATAGGAACGTTATCCCTACAGACAAAAATCAGACGATACAATTGACAATTTACTACAAAAACAAGAAAACGGCCAACCTACTCATGAAAAACTCTCCAGACACCAAACAGAACTCTGCCTTGAAAGAAACCAACGTCGTCTATACCTTCACAAGCCCACTTACCAATGCACAAACAACAGAGAAATCTTAACAAGCAACTCCTTGGGCACTTTTCTTCTCACTCCCGCTCCATTTCTGTTTTCACCGATGGGTCTAGCAGATGGGTTTAAGTCTGTGGACGGTGTTGGCTACTCTGTTGTTTTTCCTGATCGCACTTATATGTGTCGCTTACCTCTGGAGACTAGCATCTTCACAGCGGAGCTTTATGCTATTCTCTATGCTCTTCGTCTCCTGCTTTCTCATTGTCAGTCTTCCTTTGTAGTTGTTGTTGACTCTCGTAGTGCCCTCATGGCTCTCGGGTCCTTTAATCCGGTTCATCCAGTAGTTGTCGAGATCCAGCATTGGCTGTTTCTTGTTCACAGTAGATTTAAGTCGGTTGAGTTTTGTTGGGTTCCCAGCCATATTGGTGTGTCTTTAAATGAGAGTGCGGATGCTGCTGCCATGGAAGCTGTCTGCTCTTGTCCCATCTCTCGTAAAGGCATTCCATATTCCGACTTTTACCCGGTTATCCATTCCTCCATCCTTACCCGTTGGCAGGCTTCTTGGTCGTCTGTTACTGGTAACAAACTACGTACTCTTAAGTGTTGCGTTTCCTCGTGGCCGTCCTCCTACCACCGTAACCGGCGATGGGAAACAGCTCTGGTCAGGTTGCATATTGGCGATACTCGCTTAACCCATGGTCACTTGATGGAGCGCTGCCCTGCTCCTTATTGACTTAATTGCATTGTCCCTCTTACAGTCATGCATGTCCTTCTTGAATGTCCCGACTTCCAGGACGAGCGTGTGTCTTGCTTTCCGACCGCCCCGCGCGGTCACCTGTCCCTAAATAAAATTCTTGGTGACTCGGATACTTTTGACATCGTTCGCCTTATGCGTTTTTGTTCTCGTATTGGCATCCTTGGTGATATTTAGCGCCCTCTGATTATTCCGCACATTTGATGGTGCTACATTGCCTTCCCGGTTTGGTGCCTTCTTTTGATAATTATTTACTTACTTAACAAGCAACATAGAAATCATCCATAGATACAGCGAAAGCAGGAGACTCGACATCAGCGAGGCACTACACATCAAAAAGTCAACACCAACAATCAACAGCCAATTAACACATAACTATATTCTACCCACTTCAAGACCCCGACCAACATAGAAGCAGCAAGAGAAAATATGGGCCAATAGGCCAATATTCTGTAGTTACTTTCCAATGTTTTCATATGCAATTCATTCCCATTGATTTGTGTCAACTCACCCAAAAAACATTTGTGTCATATCACCTCACCCAAAACAAATATAAGTATGAAATGATATGTGTAAACCTGTCTTTGAAAATGTGAGAAGTCCTTGCAAAACGCTTTTAGGTGTTAGACCATAAGTAAAAAATGAGAAAATGAACTTATACACAGTTCCGCCGAATAAGTTTTTAAATTCCCCCGACAGTGAAGAAAAACATAAGAAATATTGAGAAGATTCGTGTTAGAATTATTAATCTTACCCTTTCGGTCATATTCAACAACATATGTTTACAAGAAAGACTGCTACCAAAATATACTAATATATAAAGTGCCAGTCATTATATAATGCATAATATATATTTGTGCACATACATACCTTACAGCAACCATCACACCATACACCGCACATGCACACAACAACCATCAGAGGCAAGTGGAACAGTAACTAACGCCCCATCTCCCTGCCCAGCCCCAACCCCAGGTCCCGCAGCGTGTCACCCTCGCCCTTCCGCTTCGACTCCCAGGACTCTGTGGGCGCCGGAGGGTCTGCCAGGGACAGCTCCGACGACCACACCTCTGACAAGTCGCCTTTGTCGCCCGGTAAGTAGCGGTCACTGTTTCCAGACCCCGAGTTATGTGCGTCATAGGAAATTAGTGATGCAGAAAGTGAGCGTCAGGAGCAAAACGCCAAGGGTGCCGTATTCCAAATAGAGATGAAGACCAAGGCGGTATTCACCCCCACAAGCCAATACAGAGCCCTCCTCACTTGGGTCCTTTACTCTGCAACGCTCCCAATCAAATCTAGCAGGTAGTGGATGGATTCTCACACCGAATTTATATTCAGTGATTGGAGTTAGGGGCTGGAACCTGAGCCAGCACAAGTGGTAACAAAGTTAATTGGTAAGTTAATTAGATACTGCAGAATGAAGAATGATATAAAAGGTCTGTGTAAGAAAATAACTGAATTTATTCGACAAACTTTCGTGCTAATACACAGCCACCCACTTTATATTAATTCAAGAGTGTCACTTCAAATCTGACAAACACCACTTAGCGGTAGGCCTCCAGACCCACCACTGATAGGTGTAAAAACACAAGGTCTCGACCCACTGGACAGCTCATCAACAACAGTTGACTAATCTGAAACACTTCGTGCACACTCTTGCCAAATATCAAAACACTTGACCAACACAATAGATCAACATATATAAATATGTACACAACAATGTCACTAAGACAACAACCTTGACGAGAACCTTACAAGTAATTACTTTATTTTAGCAAATGTCACTGACATACAACAACTACAACACTTGCTTTAACAATCAATGCCACCAAGACATTCTATTACAAAGAGTCAAATTAACTCATCAATTAATTTACTTTAATTATATAAAAATTGTTAATTACTGTCACTTTTTTTATATTTACATGCAAAAGCATGCTACATAAATACAACAAAAACAGAAGACAAAGAAACAGAGCAACAACAAAAGTACAAACAGAACAAGAAGCCCCAAACCAAACCTAACATAAATACATAAATAACACAAAGACATAAGTACATAATAACAAATACATACAGCAAGACAATACACAAGGCAGTCCGAAACGAACACCAAATCACCCACACTATACAGTCAATACACATTTACAATAAAACTAAAGCCTGAAGGGCCCACAACATATACATGATATGAAAATGCCTACACATACTTGTCTGGAAAATCAGAGCCCTAGGATACTGTATACAATACGCCTCCCATACTGCCCAGTCATCTCAAGTAAGACGACCGCCCGGCGGTGGCTTAGGGCGCTGCATAAAGTCCAGAATATCACAGATAAAACTTTACACACTTTGCACCCACACAGGCGGCGGGTTCACAGGGCCCAGCGGCGTTGACGAATGCTGACGAACCCCGTACCGCACTAAAGAGGCTGCGGTACAGGGGCTGAAGCCACCGGAGGCATTAACTCACTTTGCCGCTGCACATTGGACTGCGGGGCATGGGGCACAGGCACAGAGCCCTAACAGCACACATCCTTCTTGAGAATCACTACTAGGTCACGGGCCTCACCCAGGTACCGCAGGAGGGGGCACCACCTGCTATTCTGGGGAGCCCACAGCAGGGGGGCACAGGGGGAACACACAGGAGTCAATTCACAACCCCCATCACCTGCCCCCGCATCCTCTGCATGGACCTCCGCCACCACCACCGCCGAATCTGCCACAACATCACCAAATACCGCCACCTTACTGTCAGAAGACACGCAACTTGCAAACTCACCCACGTCTGCCCAGTCGGAACTTACTGAGAGCAAACCAGGTGAAGAATGCCTCGAACGCTTAGGATCCGGGCATAGATCATCAGAACTCAACACAGCCATAGAATCCAAGACCCGTGAGATGCAGGGAGTCCGATCCCTGGCACACCGCAGGACCTCAGCGGCAGCGACGACATCGGGGGTCAGGTCAAGCACAGCAGGCAGAAGCAGCAGGCATACCGAGACAGAAGCCTCAGGAGCACAGGGCAAAACAGTCACAGAAGAGGCAAACAGAGGGAGACTGACCCGCCGCTCCACACACGCGTCAACAGCACGAACAGCAGCCTCAGAATACACATCCAACGACACCACAGCATCCGACCCCCACCATGTGCAGCCACCCCATCCGACGCACAGAAAGGCACAGCATCCAAAGACATGCCCACAGCCACTTCCTCCGAAGCCTCTTCAACAGCTAGCGGATGGAAAATTTTCCTCGTGGAATAAATTCACTCTCTCCAGGACGCCCACAGAGCTTCCATCAGCTAGGTGGCCCGACATCCCACAATGAAAACATGTCTGGGGCTACCGGGCATAGTACACATGGACGTAGAACCCCATGAGCTTGATAGATGATGGGATGTCCGACCGAAGCCGCATTTCAAGCATGTGGATGCCATTTTGAACACCCCCATAAACGATCATACGAAATGACATTTATCCGCACACGCACAACTTTCCAAAACTGCCCGCAGTACCTCTGCAGTAACACCTCTGGGAATTCAGTATTAGCGCCATGAACACTGACGTATTTCGAAACTTCACTGCGGTCGAATTCAACAACCGACCCAGCATCTCTTGGCAGTTGGAATGTCCGCCCCTCAAACTGGCGCAGAAACGCTCAGTAATCCTCGTCGGTAGCCAACTTCACCATCGCCCTATGGGTAGTCAATACCTCCACCCCAAAAATAGCAGCCACATCCAGACCCAGCACATGACACAGCATCAGTTCCACAGTAGGGTAGTTCACCTTGCTGGAAAACTCCAGGCCAACAGACTCAGACCGCAACACGGGAGTAATGGGCCCCTCATCACACAGCACCCGCGGGGCACAAGGCCGCAACCAACCACCACGTCAACAACCAGCCACACCAACAACACAGCAGGCAGGAGTGACCAGACACGTCTGCTCACCACGTCAACAACCAGCCACACCAAGAACACAGCAGGCAGGAGTGACCAGACACGTCTGCTCACCACGTCAACAACCAGCCACACCAAGAACACAGCAGGCAGGAGTGACCAGACACGTCTGCTCACCACGTCAACAACCAGCCACACCAAGAACACAGCAGGCAGGAGTGACCAGACACGTCTGCTCACCACGTCAACAACCAGCCACACCAACAACACAGCAGGCAGGAGTGACCAGACACGTCTGCTCACTGTGGCTGTCACCACCTGACTCCCCATTACTGTCACATAAGACAGTCAACAAACCAACAGTTACGTTAACAACATTATCACTCAGACAAATGCCCACCCAGTTATAATCAAATCACTTTACTAATTACATTAATGGCTTCAAGGAATACATTAATGACTTTTCAATAAGTAATCAGACAGATTACTTATCGTTTGTTCCTCAGACAAGCCACTAACGAGGTATTGCACCACAAGACAACATCTCACACAAGAAATTCACACCTGAGAGTTAATGTTAATATTAGCGTGCCACATAGACAACCACTAACACCTCTTACGGGCCACTGAGACAACCTTAGTAGTCAATCTCTTCTCAATACGTGTAACCAGATGTTAGACAAATCCTAACTCAATGTTACTTATACACACACAATACGTCACCCGTCAATCACTAATGACAGGTCAAGGAAGGTTAAGAGCTGTCAAGTGGACAGATTTAACGCCTCCACAATCAATGTGGACTCTGACACAGTGATCTCGTTACGAGAATGTCTGATAATCAGAGATTTGGTAATTACTAATTACCAAATTATATACGTGTGCACACTACTCAACAATACCCTGGAATTTCGTACTTACAGTGAATCACACCTTCACGCTCATTCACGGCTGCTGTAGTTGATGATCGACGTGGCAGGTAGACTGTAGAGTTAGCAAGGGGACCCAGTACTGTACCCACAATATTGGATAGAGTCCACCCTACAACAATGAAATGATCGATGTTAAACCCAGGTGCTGGAGATGCACAAATGCAAGCTTTATTAATCACTCGGACATGATCCGTAGAGCTCCAGCTTGAATGCAACCATCTCTCACAGTCTATGTTTACTGAGGTATAATTAAACCCCCCCCCCACACTCCTCTACGAGTAGTGTGTTTACCCACACCACACAACCCCATTTTCTGTTGGTCAGAGGTGAGACACACTGCTCTCTCACATTCTCATCTTCTGTTCGTTAGCACGCGGTGTGTTCACTCTTACACCGCTCCTCAACTGAGGGTGATCCTCACCCTTCACGTTTGCGAACACGCTACACATTCACTAACATCCTAAAGCTAACACACTTCTGGAATATTCCACACTTGATTGTTCCACAGATGATTGGACAATCACCTCCAATCAGACTCACATTGAGTCTTGCCACTGGCTTAGTATACTCGAGTTCACTCTTTCTATCACTCTGCTTCCCGGTGAAGTCACACATTCTGGTACACAACACCAGAACGTTGTGTGTACTATTCATGACGGTCATGATGCCAGTGTGTCATCCGCGAGTCACAGTGTCCGTCTGTGTTGTGACTGTCAGTGTTCGCAAACCTAACATGGGCAGTAGGTCAGGTTGCAGGAGCACGTGCAGTGCTTGGTCGGAGATGGTTAGGGGTTGCAGCACGTGGTTGGTTATGGGCAGGAGGTGCAGGGCAATATCACTTAGCTGGGTTAGAACCGCTGTGAGCTCGCCAGTCTGCAGTGTCATGGCCGGGCAGCTGGTGGTAGGTTCAGACCAGTGCACGAGCAGCTCGGCATTCTGACGTGACATAACAAAATAACCCTCAAGTTCATTATTTCCGTAACAGCATGCACTCCTGTATGCTAATCTCACACACCAAGCTCACCCGAGTCACTCAAACATCTGCCACAACCTTGGATCACTTATGGACTAATATAACAGCTCCTTTTGCATCTGGTATAATCTATGACAGAACAACTGACCACTGTCCTACCTTCCTCATAGCAAACATGGACATAACTCCACCAGAAAGCAAGAAACTCACATTCAGGCTACACAGTGCAGCAGCAATAGGCAACCTCTCAAATGCACTTCACAATATTAACTGGGAATCTGAAATCAATAATACACAGGATATAAATTCATTAGTTAACCTCTTCCTCTCCAAAACTCAGCCTCTACAACACTCACTGTCCCCTCCTTATCAAACAAGTAACTGACAAAAGAATAAACAATCCGTGGCTCACAAGTGGCATATTCAAATCAATCAACAAAAAACATGAATATGAAAAGAAATTTAGGATTGGCCTAGTTACAAAGTAGTTAAGAGGTACTCATCAGTGCTTACCAGTATCATAGGAAAAGGAAAACTTTCATATTATGAGAATAGATTTAAAGAAGCAAAAGGCAACATGAAAAGCACATGGAAAACCATCTCTAATATCCTGGGAACTAAACAACACTCCCACAACCAGATAACACTCTCTAAGGATGGCCTTATACCGTCAACTGCTTTAGAAATGGCAAATGAAAATAATTTCTTTTCATCAGTTGGTGCTAACCTTGCCAGAAAAATCCCACAGACTCAGTACCAACGATGCAATTATTAGTCTCCTTGATATAATTTACTCAGCCCTTGACAAAAATGAGTTTCCGATTGGACTCTTCATTGACCTGAGAAAGGCCTCTGATACTGTTAATCACAACTACCTCTTACGTAAACTCCATCATTATGGACTCCGAGGCCATGCGCTGGACTATATCCAATCCTATCCTAGTGACAGATACCAATGTGAAGCCATCAAAGATATAACCTCTCCCACTCTACCAATAACCGTTGGAGTGCCACAGGGCAGCATCTTGGGACCTCTGCTATTTCTTATATACATCAATGATCTGCCTAATGTCTAACATTCTTGAACCTATATTGTTTGCTGATGATACTACCCTCATCTACTCTAACCCCAACCCACACACACTAAATAATGTTGTTAATAATGAACTAAAAAAGTCCACTTATGGATGTCAACCAACAAACTAACACTTAACATAGAAAAGACCTACTACATCTTATTTGGAAGCAAATCTACAAATGCAATTCAGCTTCAGATAGACAATGTTAACATCAGTAATAATAATGACAAAGTATAACAGTTGGTATACTCTCCAAATCAGATATTATGTACCTAACTCTGCTCTCATCTCTCTATATTATGCACTAATGTATCCCTATCTTAATTATGGTATCTGTGCATGGGGTTCAACCACTGCAAACCACCTCAAGTCCATCATTACCCAGCAAAAATCTGCTATCAGAATAATAACAAATTCTGCTTTCAGACAACACTCAGCCCCCTTGTTTAACTCCCTAAACATGCTAAACAAACTCACTCCACACATTCTCTCGTGTCAGTTACATTTACAAAGCCCAGTTTTTAAATGCAAATACTACTCTGAAACTCTCCCTGGACAGATGTAATAGGACCCATTATCACCACACCAGAAATAAATATCTCTTTGATATCCCCAGAGTCAAACTTAATCTGTGTAAAAACTATGCAAATAAAGGGACCCAGTCTATGGAACTCACTCCCTAATAAATTGAAAAGCTGTCCAACTTTTGCGTCATTCAAAAACAAAACTTAAAAGTACCTAATTTCATCTTCATAGATTCCTACCTTATTGCTTTAAAATTGCACTGTATCTCTTGCTACCCAGTCGTTATGTACCTAATGCAAACAACTTTATCATTGTGATCATTGCTGCCTTATATGTGCTATCAATCTGCTGTATGGTGCCTATTAATCTTTGTTTAAATTACCAATCAAGCTGTCAATGCAATCAATCAGAGCTTTAATATACCTACTAATCTCTCTCATCTCATTTTTTTTCTTGCAATGTATCTGTTATTTTATTAATTCTGCTAGAATTTACCTACTTAAAATTATCTGTTAGATTAAGGACCTGCCCGAAACGCAGCGCGTACTAGTGGCTTTACAAGTTTGTAAATACTATGCTGTGTATTCTCACAAACCCAATGTACCTTCTTGTATATAAATAAATAAATAAAAAACATGGCCAGGTCTACGGTGAAATGTGCAATATGGACGGTTGTGATAGTAAGTATGGGCCTGCATTGTTATGTATGGCATGAGGTTGGTAACGAGTATTGTTTGATGTGCATGCTGCCTTAAGGTGGCCTGGTTTGCCACAGTTAAAGCATTCTGGCATGCAAGGGCATGGAGGAGACCGAGGAGAGCAACCACAGATGTGGTCATTCATGTTCAGTGTTAAGCAGCATATACACATCGTCTTCTGTCCTCCCTGGACGCGGGCACAGTTCTAAGTCACTATATATTAAGCTATGGGTGACTGAGCCAACCACAACAGGTGATTTAAATAATTTGGCAATATATGCACTTTGACGCAAGGTACACAGATGTACCTTGCGTCTCAATAGTGAACTCGTCACACTCTGTGATGTAAAGAGCAGCCTCTCCTCTTATCTGTGTCCCTACTACACTTCTCACATCTTGTCTCTCGACTCATTTACTTCCCAGAGAAATCTAACACAGCATAACTGTTGACATGAAGTCCCATGTTATAGCTTCTCGCCCTCCCTCCCTGACCTGACCCCTCCCTGACCTGACCCCCCTCCCTGACCTGACCCCTCCCTGACCTGACCCCTCCCTGACCTGACCCCTCCCTCACCTGACCCCCCTCCCTGACCTGACCCCCCTCCCTGACCTGACCCCTCCCTGACCTGACCCCCCTCCCTGACCTGACCCCCCCCTCCCTGACCTGACCCCTCCCTCACCTGACCCCCCTCCCTGACCTGACCCCCCTCCCTGACCTGACCCCTCCCTGACCTGACCCCCCTCCCTGACCTGACCCCCCCTCCCTGACCTGACCCCCCCTCCCTGACCTGACCCCCCTCCCTGACCTGACCCCCCCCTCCCTGACCTGACCCCCCCTCCCTGACCTGACCCCCCCTCCCTGACCTGACCCCCCCTCCCTGACCTGACCCCCCCTCCCTGACCTGACCCCTCCCTGACCTGACCCCTCCCTGACCTGACCCCCCCTCCCTCACCTGACCCCCCCCCCCCCCCCCTCCCCCCCCTCCCTGACCTGACCCCCCTCCCTGACCTGACCCCCCCTCCCTGACCTGACCTGACCTGACCCCCCCTCCCTGACCTCCCCCCCCTCCCTGACCTGACCCCCCTCCCTGACCTGACCCCCCTCCCTGACCTGA